GAGGGGCCTGAAGACTGGAATCTGGTCCAAGGGAAAGGAAAATCCTGAGGACAGGCAAGTTTTTAAAAGCTAGAGAGCGTCTTTCATTTATTTTTTTTTTTTTTTTTAAATTTCCCTTTGGGTCCATCCACCAAGAGAAAGACTAGGAATTTAACTTAAAAGGTGAAAGCTTAATCCCGCAAACGCAGGAGTTAAAGATGTAAAACATCCCAGACGAGTCACGCAAGTGACCTGCACACAAAGCACAAGAGCTGCCGTCAGTGGAAAAAGAAAGGCTTTGACTTTGGAAGACTGCAAGCGACGACATCCGTAATCCTTCCCGGGCACGTTGTAATTCGTGTCTTAGTGCAAAGGGCAAGTTTAACCTGAACTTTGTAGAAAGGAAAAACCCAGACACTACAGCAATTTCCCACCCTAGAAATATAAACAGTCTCTAAGCATCCACATATCTCTGTTTCTCTCGGTGCTCACCTACTTGCAGAGCGCATTCGTTGCGCTTACTTCTCTGGCCGTGTCTCCCCACACGGGTGCTCTGTCGCTCAGAGATGTGAAGTGGCCACCCAGATTCCCACCTCCTGTAAAGACCCAGGGCAGAGTCAAATTATAACCTCACATTTCATAAATCTATATATGTTTATCTTAATAACATAGATTTCAAAAATTTCTGTTATAAATACAATTAATTAACTGGAATAATGTAACTAACTGGAATAAATGCTTCCCTTGTCATATGGAGAGAACATTACATGTGTCAGTCCACTTAGCTGTGGTAGGATGGAAGAGCATTGCTCCCTCAACTCAGTACTGAAAAAATGATAAACTTTAAAATCAAATGTAAACTTTGCCTTGCATTGTCCAATTACTTTTTTCTCCCTACAAAAAGCATCTTTAACAGCAGTTTTAAGCAGAAGAGGAGTAATACTTCCCTTTGACACCCACAATTTTCCTAACATAAGCTCCAGTGTCATAAAAGGGATAGGCTGGATTCCCTTAGGGATGCAGCCCAACGGTCTGCAAGATGAGACCACTAGCTTTCTGCACACGAGGTGAAGGCTTTTACCACTGTTCCCATCCCATGTTTTGATTCTCCCTCCCACACATTGATGGAAAAAGGCCCTGTGACACTGTTAAATGAGCTTCAGGTGGAAGGGGGAGTGGACAAGCAGCAGCTGCTTGCCATAAAGAGGGTGAGTTGAGAGCTTGGTTAGTTTCTTGCTGGGCTGTAAGCAGCAGCAGCATGGACCTTAGTTTTGAGGGGCTCTAATGGGGTGGGAATAGTTTAGTTTTTGTAGAGCTGCTTTTTTTTTTTTTTTTCCTTTGTCCTTCCCTACATTGTTCTTTCTCAAAGGTCAAAGTTATTCTGGGAGCTTTGGCTTAGAAGAGTGAGGGGAGTCTGTAGGCTTTTTGGTGCTTTACAAGAGCTGGACAGGCTGTTCTGGATGGAAACTGAAGAGGGCTCCAGTGTTCCGGAAAGCCTTCTGAAACTCTAGGCTGAGTTCTGTGCTAGTTTGTAACAGGTCTTGAATTAATTTTTTTTTCCCTGTAACTCTGATGTGCTTAAGTTCTCTAAAGAGTCGGGCTGCTTTTCTTCCTTTGTGTAATCACTAGATCTTCTGTGTTCTGATTTCTTTTATTGTCATTTATAAGTTATGTATGGCAGGGCTATATCACTTGAATGGGTTGGAATAGACTGAACTTAGTGTATTAGTTAACTGAGGAAATAATAAATAAGTGTGGGAGGAAGTTCTGTCTTGTGAATCTTGTATGGCTTTGAATCTGAACTTATATGTGAGGATTTTGCTTTTTTTGTTACCTATCATTTAGTTTAAGCATAGGAATTATGGTGTCACCGAAATATTTGGTTTATTATGTTAGCTGTTGTTTTTCAGTATATTATAAAGTACAAATCCTGAATTAATAGAGCTTTTCCTGTGATCTCTAATGCAACATATGGGTTGGCATTAAGAAGTGTTTGCTTCATGAAGCACCAAACTTCTCATTGTGTGAAGCCTTCTGTTGCTTTTTTTTTTGAGGCCTCTTGCTCAAGGCTAATTGGCTAAAGGTGTGTTTTTAATTGGCTGGAATACTACTTATATGGATATGTGCATATAAGACTAGATTAAAGTTACTGGTCCTGTGACTGTCCTGTGGCTTTAAAATGTGTTGTAAGTTTGGCTTGAAGTGTGAATGTTGAGGGCTGCATACAAAAGCTTAGCAAAGGAGAACTAAAATCTTTCACCTTGATAGTAGTGTCAGTTTTCTACTCTCTGTTTGGAAGACAGTAATTTTCTCCTGGAAAGATCTGGTTCTGTTAGGCTGGGAGAAGAATGTTGGCTGAATTCTGACAGAACATAAAAATAATTGTCACGCAGGTTTTTAAAGTGGTTAATGCTGATCATTTATCTCTTACAGTGTTTAAAAAAAATGAATACTGCCTCAACTTCAGAAAGTGGATCATATTCCACAAACCACACAAGACCCTTTTTTTATGCACAACCAACAGCGCAACAGCCTTTTCCAAATCCATGGTACCTCAGTCATGCATACAGTCCGTACTGTGTACCTGCTCCAGGTAAGGTAAATGAGAGCTGTTTGTGGTAGCTTTGCTTAGTAAATTACTGCTAGAGTGGAGGAAACAAATGTGTATCCGTGTTAGCAAGCTTCTTGGGAGTTTAAGGTAGGATTAATGTAATTTTTAATTGTCAAAGATCTGATCTATGAAGTGATAGTTAAATGTGTAGCTTGTGTGCTGGAAAGCATCTGTTTCTGGAGAATGGAAACTAAGCAAAATATTAAGTAATGGCTATCCTACAGATAGAGATCTTTAGAATGTGCCTAACAATTAATATGTGTGTGTATATCTGAGTTCCATACATGCATGCACACATGATAGGTATGGATAAATATGAACTTAGAAACCCACACAGAAACAATGTTGTTAAATACATCTTGTAAATGGTATACCTATATTAGCTTCTAACTGGAGCTGTCTTTTTCACAGACAATGCTATTGCGTATCCGTAAAATAGCAGAAAAGTACAGGATGGTACTTGGTGTATATTCCAAGGAATAAAATCAAGCTCGGGTTAAAGTGTAGCTGTCCAGATAAGCTGCTCCATAATAAAGAGTGCTCTCTAGGTTTCTGTACCAGACTTGCTTCCAAGCATTGACAGGTGGAGGGTTTTACTTGCCTACGTGTCTGATCTTGTAGCTGTCCCTGTATATGCAAGGAATTATTAATCAGAATTACTTATTTCAGAAAGAAGATATATTTGTCTTTACTTTTTTTTTTACCCCCAATGTCTAGGCTTCCGAAGTGGAAATCCGTATTTTCCATTTTATTCTGTTGCGCTCCATGAGTACCCTGGATTTTTTGTTCCACAGCATCCAATGCATGCAAGAATTAACAGAAGGCCTTATTTTAATGCTCCCCCACCTTCCCCTATGTTTTATCATGCAACAAGATTTAGACACTATAGTACCCCTGGGAAAAAAATGGAGACAAAAGAAACACAGACTGATCCTAGACAGCCTGAAAACAAGCAAAAGAAGCATCAGGATACCCGTACAGAAACGAAAGGCTGTGATGCAGGAAATATGGCCTGTGTTTCTTCTGGTATAGGTACAGAGACTGAAAGTACTTCAGAGAAACAAGATTCATCTGGATCTTCCATTGTGGCAGACAGAGAGTTTCATAACAAGAGCTCTTCCAGCTCTACACAGTATAGAAATCTTCCTACTGGAAGCTATGCCTTTGAGAAGGAGGAAGTGAGGATAGAATATGGAAATGGCTCTCCAGCTATTCAACTGTGGAAGTCCTTTAAAGAAACTATCCCTTTGTATGATGTGGCAAGTGGTAAACCGGTCCCAGAAAATATAGTACAGCGTGACTTATTTTCTGTTAGCTCGTGTGAAGGAATGATATATGGCCCTCATGAAGGGGAGAAAATGGCGCAAGGAGCTTACTTGGATGAGAGAAAAGCTGTTATTGCCTCAAAACAGGGTGTTGAAACTGTGCAAGGAAAAGAGGTCCAAAATAATGAAGTGAAGCTGGATGCAGAAAAGCAGGCAAATACAAGTCAATGGGCAAAATCCCCCCCAGGTGAAACAATGGCAGTGCAAATTGCAGAGTTGGCAAGATCTGTTAGTGTAGATCAACCGGTGGCAAGACAGGATGTGGTAGTAGCTAAGAAATACAGCTCTAAAAAATCTACAGGCTCAAAAACTTCTCAAGAAGAGCCCAGCTTTATTCAACAAGCAGGACTACTTCCATCTAGTATGGACGTAACGAGTGACTTGAGTTTTCAGCAGAAAAAGTTGAATCTAAGCCACAGTGCAACCAATGAAAGCCAAACAGATAAAAGTATTTGGTGTGACGAATCAATTGAGAAGTATGTTCCCTCTAACAGCTGGCTGGCTTGTTTGGACAGTATAGACACAAACTACAACTATGATGTTTGTTTGCCACAAAGGAAACGTCAAAGTGTACTCAGTCTTTCTTCTGATGATATGTCCTCTAGAGAGGAAGGCTCATCAATTGATAATGCCACAGTGTCTTGTTTTGTCCCTGACTATGTGCTTCAGAAAAGCACGTATACTTTCCAGAAAAGTACAGAGGGCCTAGAGAAAGAGAAAATTAAAAGTGGTGGGTCCCTTAATGAAGATGAAGTGGAAGTGGTAGGAAGGGAGCAGAAGAACAGCTTGAATGACCAAGAGGTCAAAAACTCTTCAACTGTGAAGACTGAAGAGGCTTCCAGGAAAGGTAGAAAGATGGGAGCCTTTCCTAGATCTTCTAGTCGGAAAAAAATGAATTATCTCAAGAAAAAAGCAGCTAAGAGTTTGTCAGAAGTTGAGGACTCTGAAGAATACTCTGTGAGGGGAGAAGAGGATGAAGATGGAGAGGATGAGGAGGATGACGATGATATGGATGAAATTGAATATTTCTTTCAAGAAGCCACTCCATATGGAATCTTGACACCTAGTAAAGGAAGCTTCTACCAAATTGGCCAGAGGGTGCTTTGGAAACCACCTAAAAATGCTATACCAGCTCAATTAATTAGCTGGCCTGTTCAAGAGAAAATAAAAACTAAGAGTGGGTTTGCTGAAAACATTGGTGTAGTTTACGAGCCAAGGGAGAAAGAACAAGATGAAGTTGTCTACAGTGACTATGGGTATTACGGAAGAAAGAGGCTTATGGCAAGAAGAGGAGGACTTGAACACCAGCGAATGTTACGGAAATTCTTGGGAGGTAAACTAATTGCTGAGGATGAAGTGCTGCTTAATAGAACACACAACACTGAATTGCAGTTGTAAATTGTAGTCTGAAGCAGTGGGAAGACTGGAGAATGTTGTAGCTTCAGGTTTGTCTTAGCACCAGAAGTACTGCAGAATATTTTTTTTTTGGTAGAAGAGGTTTGCTGCAATTTTTTTTTTACCTGTTGCATGAGGATTCTGCATCTTCACAACTAGCAAAGAATTTTGCAGAAACTCCCCTTTGAATTAGATTGATATACTTTCTGACATTAGCAGCACTTTATTAATTTGAAAAGCTTAAAGTCACTTGAACTACACATTTACCATTGTTTAATAATATCCTGGAAACTCAGCATTTAAATTTATACAAACATTCTGACTCCCATCACAGACTCGTGTTAGGTGGATTAAACAGGATTAAGTTCATTATAATCTGGTGGCCATATCCTGTGTAACTTCTCTGCAAAAGAGGAGTCAAACCACTTTTTTTTTTTAATGGTAGTTGCTGCTTTCTTACTGTTGGGAACAAAAGTTTTTCTGTATCTTCATAAAATCGGTGTGAAACTTACTAAATTTGATCTGGAAAAGAACATTTTATTTACTCAGAGGTGATATTGGTAGAAATCGGATTAACCTGAACTGAGAATAAACAGTTATCAGTCAGGGTTCATAATTGGTTACATGGCTACTTCAGTAAGTGGCTGCTATTTAGTGCAGTCTTGTATTGTGAAAGGCACCTAAAACAGGGAGATTGACTTCTAATAACAGGTTTAGTGTTCTTAAAATTTATTTTCTTTGTACGAAATCTGTAGACTTAAAGCAGCTTGCAATTTTTGTTAAGTGTGGTCTCCAGAAAACTGTATTTATTTTGATACACTCTTACAACTAGGTTCAGTAGCTAGCTTTGCATTCTGACTTGTGGATCAAACAGTATATTAACATTAGCAAAACTAAATACTGATCGTAAATCAACTTTTTTTATTAGGAAGGCTGATAAGGGAGAACATGGGGATATCACCTGAAGAGTATTGGATTAGAAGTGGTGCTAAACCCAAATTTACCAGCCAGATACATGATAGTCTCTCACCTCCAGTCAAGAGCAAAGAACAAGGTACAACTTATTTCCTCAGTGTGCTTCTGTTCTTAAGGAACATTCAAAAGGGTATGATACAAAACAGCAAGCTCATGATATTTGGATAAGATTTGAAGATAAGACTATTTCTTATTGCTCTGATATTGATGAAATGCCTGTCAGTCAGTACATCTTGGGGTATATTCATAGCCTTCATAAACTCAAACGTGAATAAGGATGTATTATAGCTTTTTTTTTAAAGGTACCATGGGAAATCAAAGCATCAAATTCTTTGATGTGGCCAAGCAAAGCCCTTATTTGTGCAAAGTTGCTAGTGCTGTAAACGGTATTAATTCTTCACCCAAATAATGCTTCTCTTGAGTGTGCACGCAGTGGTAGTTCCTAATCTTGATGAGTAGAGCATATAGGAAGTCATGTGTGAAAGCTACATAGGCCAGTGTTTAGAGAAACTGGCATGAACCAACAGTTGCCCCATTACTGCTAAAGGTTGTCTGAGTGCAAAACATCTTGATGTGGCTAAGGAAAAGATGAACAAATCAAAACTATTCTAACAAAATAAAAGGTTAGATATTTTCCATAACTTTTTCTTTGCTCCCGAAGCAGAATGTTTTTTCTTTACAGTGAAGGTCTACTTGGAGTTCAGCTCTGTTTCTAGATGCTCTTCAAGGGTGTTTCTTAGTGTAAGTGCTGTTGGAACAAGCGTAGAATCTGGTGTAGTCGCAGTATTACTACTCTCCTGGGTCACATGCTTTCAAGTATCACAGGATCAGTCTATCAAATAACAGAGTGTGAAGTTATCTTCAGAACAGACTGACTTGCTTCTCTTAAGTTCAGTGATAATATACAGCAGATTTCCTGTATCAACAGCCTGTAGACTATTCTTTAGAGTGTATTCCTTAGAGTTCTCTGTCTGCATTGCTTTCCTGCTTGAGCACGTTGGGGTTTGGGATTTCCCTCCTGCATTGGAAGCTTTCTATCCACAGACTTCCACAAAATGATGGGTTTTCTCATGCTAGCCTGCTCTAAAAACAGTTGAAAACACTTTTGCAGCACCTTTCTTAGCTCCTTACAACAATTTGTAAAAATAATAAAATAGTTCTAAAATAATTGTTACCTTTAACTTTCAGTATGTCCCTTCTATCTCTTCAAAGTCATAGATAGTGCAGTGTACTGGGGATGCTTGGCCTATGTGTTACTCTCTGCTTTCTCTTCCTCCTTTTCCAGCCTATGTAGTTTAAAGACACTATCACATTCAGTATTAGGAAGCAGGAATCTGTTTCTTCTGAGTGGTTTTCATGCCAATGGATGCCTCAAAAGTGCTAGTGAAGTTAAAACCTTTTTAAAATGTTGCCTATCTTAGGACTGGTTTCTTCAAATTAATCTCAAATTTAAGTGCCCTGCAAGTGAGGAGCTTGTTTGGCTGAACAAGATATGTTGATTTAGCAGCAAATCATATGCTAAATTTGATTTCTTGAACTGTATACCCATGGTGCATAACTTCACAGGTCTGACAAATTGAGTTTTTTAAAGCCCATGGTGAGTTGTCACTTGGACAGCTATTAACTAGTCTCGAACATTTGAAAAGTGAACTAGAGCAGAATTATCCAACTGTCACTGGGTTGTTCTTTGCTATATTAACACTTATCCAAGTTATGACCCCAAATACAATGCATGTGGAATTATGGTTAGACAGGGATTAAGTATTGTAGACATACAAGACTGTTGCTTGGCATATGTATTGTCAGTTTTATCTGCCACTAAAATGGGCACATAGAGGGAAGGGAGAAAGAGGAACACTACAGACCAGTTGGGGAAAGTCAAGCTTAAATTTGCTTTAAGACTATGCTTTGGAGAAATAACGCCAGTTGTATCTTGCTATTCAGGATACCCACCTTTGGTTAGACCAAAGAAGAAAAGAATAGGCAAGCCACCATCAAAACGCAGAGACACAAGATGTGAGGTGGAAGAAGTAGAAGCGTGGGAGATGCCTAAAAGCAGCGCACACAGAGGTTGGTATATAGTGACAAGCTACAAAAATTACTTAAAAGCATTTTTTCTTTACTGTCTTGGGGAGTCATGGTTGCCAGTTTGAACTGCAAGAATATTGGGTAGCTTGTGAAATAATAGCAAATGCTATGTGTGGAGACAAGGTGAGGAAAAAAGCAAGCTAAACTTTGAAAACTTACCTTGCTATGAATACTGCTGTAGTGTTGACCAGGTTTGGCTCCTTTCCTTTATTTAAGGGAAAGGAGATTAAAAAAAACCCCGAAACCAAAAATGCCACCAGACCCCACTATTTTAGTCTAGTTGCTCTTCAAACTGCTCTACTAATTTTTTCTTTTTAAATGTTGGGTCCTGTGTCATTTTGCAGTATATCCTTTTCTTTAAGCTACAGGTCTGTCTCAGCCAAAATATTGTGCTCTGATACAACACAGATGTGTATAGGTATTTCTTAAGAACTTCAACTTTATGAAGTAGGAATTTCTTGCTACTTTGGAGGAAGAAGGGAGAAACAATGGAGGAGAAAATAACATTAAGTAGGTTCAATAACAAATACACTTCTGCGCATTTGTGGGAGAATCTGAAAAGGTTATAAATTGAAAAGGGTCAGTACATACAAGAAGTTGTAAAAGATCAGTTCCTTCTGGAAAAGAACAGTGTTGCATAGTAAAGCTAACTTGAATATGCAGTCAGGAAATACATGAGTTAAAGACCCTCTGTTTCTCATATGTTAAACAGAGGATTATGATTCCATGCATTTGCAATGTCTGAAACAGAAACTTAGACTGAAGCATCTTATTAGTCAAAATCGGCATCAGTCTTGAAGTTGGACTATTTAAACATCAGTGTGAAACCTTTAATTGCTGATCCTTTCTAGTAATAGCATCTAGGAAACTTGCCTTATCCCAAACTACTTACATTCTTGTAATAGTTAGTGTTTCTTGGATGCATTCAACGATGTAATTACAAGAGCACAGAAAATATGCCAAGACTTTGATATGGAACTTTTGTCTATCTGCTATATTGGGGTATTCTGAAGTCCAACACCATTCTTGCAGAATTTATCCTTGCTGGGAAGTTGAGTACATAGTTCTAGTATTAATCATCAATGTCATCTCCTGCAATAGGAAAAGGCAGTCACTGATGTCTAGTCTTTAGAAGCAAATTCATACATTATTTGGAGGGAGAATGCATAACTTAATCTCCTTTTTTTTTTTTTCTTTAGGGCACGGAACAAGGAAGTCCCTCTATAAGAAAAGATAACTGCAAATCGTGGGGCAAAAGGGGGGGATGGGACAGGATGACGGGTATCAGAGGTTTGTGTAAATCCAAAACTCAGTTGTTGTTCTCTTGTATATTTTGTAAGTTGCTGTGCACTCTTCAAGGGTAAGAAGTAGCACTGTAAAGACTGAGGACACTATTAAAATGGAATTAAGTATTTAACACTGAAGTCACCTTTTTACAACTAGGACATCCACTATTTAAATAATAAATTTAATAGAGTTGCACTTTGAGACTTGTATTCCGTCTATACATGGAAGCAAAAAAGCTTATGGCAGGGATGTATGGGCATCAATACCATCACAGCATACCATTTACTGCTGCCCTGTTCTTGGGCTCTGCAGGATTGTGAAGCCTGTCAATGTCATCTCATAGACAGTTTGTCTATATGATGTGGATGTAGATACAAGATTCTCTTCCATCAGCTGGATTTTTGGCTGGATTTGGTTTTGTCAAAGTGTAAAGGAATATAGTTAAAGCTGTACCAAGTCAACTACTGACTTGAAATTTCAAGGCGGTTCCTCAGATCTTACTCTTTAAATGCATGATTGAGGACTAACACTAAAGCACTGCATTGATGTGATACTTCCCCCTCCTCCCTTCTTTTTCCATGGAGACTTTTGAGTCCTCTATGGAGTCTCTGAGCTGGAAAGATGGACTTCAAAGGTGAAACAGAAGTTTTTTTACAACAGTGGTGTGCCCTGTTCTCTGACTTCTTACTGGTGACAGTAAGTCAGTTGATACTGTCCTTGACAACTCACTACAGAAAGGTATCTTTGTAGAACTAAGATGATAAAACTAGTTCTCTGGTGAGCTCTCTCATGAATTATAGAAATAGACTGATCTAGATGAGGTGGATAGCTCAAAAATGTGTGATCTTTTTCATGTCTGTGAAAGCTTAGCATCACTATGAGAAGAATAAATGTGATACTGCCATTCTTGGATGATTCCCAAATAAAGCGATGGTGTGAGTGAAAAACATAGGGAAACTATAAAAAATTTTCTTTATTAAAGGGCAGGAAGGAATGGACAGATGAGACTTGTCTTCTGCCTCCTTTCCCAAAGTTCTTATTCTGTCTGTACCCTAGAGTAACCTACATGGAAAAAAGTAGCATTGCCTGTGACTGTGTTAAAGTCTTGTGCCTATTACTAGTTTCACCTGTAACTAAGGTTATGCTGTTTTCCCCTCAGCGAGGAGTATTGATGTTTCCCTACCCAACTGATCCTTGATCTTTCTATTCTTTTTAATAGCACTTGTGTACTTGTTAAAGAGCTACTGTAATTACAGCCTATACTGGAAGCTGATAGGGGAAAGGATCCACTTTAATACTGTGATGCCAAGTTTTTATTTCCTCTCTACCCTAAGCACTGCAAGAAAATGAGGAATACAAATTCTTACTTGGCTTTTGTGCTGCACAAAACCTCTGTTGCACCAGAAAAAGAATAAAAGGAGGGAGGGAATTACTTCAAGCATGGAGCTTTTTAATCCTCTGGAAAATACAGGACTGCTGCTCTTGGATATCTAATACAGCAATGTGCTGCTCTTAGAGAGGGATGGACTTTATTCTGATGGGGAGAATGAGTGGTAGCATCTCTTCAACCCGAATACTGTAAGTGATGACCTAAAGGTAATCCTCAGCCATAATTGAGACCTCTTAGGTAAGAATTGACTACTTTTTCACTTTTTCCCTGAACTTGTGTAGCTTTGGGATTGAATACTAAGCCATTTCTGCTGACAGACTTAACTGATTGTCATTTGCTGCTTGTCTGATAAAGGACTAGTCATGATCTGACAGTAAGATGGCACTTTTGGGGAGGGGTGTGGGGGGGACATTTTTGGGAATGGCTAGTATTTCACAGGTACCCCCAAGATCATGCTAGTCATCCTTTTGCAGGTCTTGCACTAGAAAGCACTTGCTTTCCACCCTAACTTGTTTCTTACATCTGGGCCTGGTGATGCTAGTTCCCAAGAACATGTGAGGGAGTAGCAGTAGGAGTGTTTAGACACCTCTTTGTCTGAAAACAAATGCTATTTTAAGCTAGGTGCTTAAAATCTTGTAGTGTACACATGCTATGGACCCATGCCAATGCTTAAAGTGGTATGCATGAATGTTCTAGTGCTCCCAAAGTAATTCTTGGATACTGCTATATGTGGTGTACTTTACTCTGACAGTACTAGTTCCATGACCTTAAAACTAAATCTTCTACTTGGCTCTTTCTTCACTCAGCAGCATGGATGATTTGTGGTCTGCATCTTAAGTCAACTGGCTTACAACTGTATTTAATATTCAGAAAGGTTGCCAAGTACAAACTGAATTTTAGAAGGCTGTGAATTAAAGTCCAGGCTCCCTTTATTCAGCCAGGTAACTAGCCATGGTGATATTTAGTTTGCTACAGATGCACATACGTGTCAGCTTTTGTTACCACTGAAGCTAGATTGCCCAGGGATGAGTAACTGCAGCGCTGGCAGCGTTATGAGCTTGTAACTAGCAGGACTGCATTGCCTTTGAAGTTTACACATGCTTCCTCCAGCACCTACTGAAGGGCAGCTGAAGAATCTATTTGCTGCTTGGCACACCAGGAACAAACCTTAGAGGCCTCTGAGACTGCCATACTGGGAGCTTTGTTTGGACAGACTTACTGTCTGTGACTCAGAATTTCTAAATCATTATCTGTAGCTAACTAAAACCTCTGTTGCAAAATGGGTGTGGTGTAATCACTGAAGTGGAGCTAGTGGGTTATATTGGCTTTCCAGGTTTTAATTCTATATTTTAATTTTCAATTTGGTAGCATCTGCGTGGCATAAAGCTTTCCCTTTTACAATGTCCTGGTTACTGCCTTATGTTGGAAAAGATTAATTACTGGTCTTTCCATTAAAATAAAACAATGGAAGATGAGCAATGGCAAAAAACACTCATTGCATGCTAACTGTAGGCATACCAAGGAAAACCAAATGCACTGTTTAAAAAAAAAAAGTCCTCATATTCCCCCAGCTGACTCTCTGCCACTGACTGTAAACAGGACTATAAACCCTCAGTTGTTTCATGGCTAAAGAAATAAGACAGGTGTCAGTATTTTTTTTTTCTGAATTAATCTTTCTGAGAAGAATGGTTCAGAGTATTAAGATAAACAGAGCTGGGACCTGAAGATCTGTAAAGCTGTATTGCCTGTGAGGTATTTTGTAGCTGCATTTCATGCTTATTGGGACTATACAATTATGCTATTACTACCACTCAGGCTTCAACAGAACCTTCAAATGGAAATATATATGCCTACAAAAAGGCAAGGATTGCTAAGAAAAAAAATAATGGTTCTTTGAACAAAAACATAAATAGTGCAATAGTTAAGATGTAAAAAATAAGGCTCATCAGTTTTTTGAGACTATAGCTTTCCATTCTGCTTTCTGAATTTACTTCTACATAGAATCATTTTCCATTAATATAAATAGGTGTTGGTATTTATCTCCAGCCTATGTATTTTTAAAAGACCTAGAGTCTCTTATATGCTAGCTTTGGCACTGTTTAAAATGATAAATGATGAAATGAATCTTGCACTGTAGTACTGGCTGCCAGTCAGCACTGCTCAAAATCTTATTTATTGAAGCTGTTAATTTTCAAATTGGCTCTACTTCTCAGTAGTTCTCTACTGAAACTTGTAAATCTATGTATGGGATATGATAGAGATCTATAAAACTGGTAATGGTATGGGGAAAATTAACAGGAATCAGTTGTTCACATGCCTTCCATTACAAGAACTAGGGTGTATGAAATGAAACTATTAGGGAGCAGTTTGAAAGCAAATGATGGTTCTTCACTAATTCTTAATTAATCTCTATAGTTCCTTGCTGAAGCCAATTGCAAAGCTTACAAGAAGTGACTGGATGTAAAAGGAAAAAAATTACATCCAAGGCTACTAAATATTAAAATATAACTTATGATTAAAGTACCTGCACTTCAAGCAGCAGAGGCTGAGACAGCATTTTGGTGAAATAAGAGAAATAAGACCATGAGAGTTTGTGCTGCTCTGTTGTGTAGTAATCCACTATTGACCATGAGTAGAAAAAGATACTGGGTTAACAGACCTTTAGTCTGTACCGGGCTAGTGATTTGATATCTCAAAAAAAAAAAAAACCCTTAAATTGCATTTGATGTATTTGCTTGATTGTTCAAATAGTAAACCCTGGCAGGTAAAATGAGAAGGACCACTTACAAGGACTAGGATGACAGACTAAGGAAAAACTGAGTTTGTTTTTATTGAACTAAACTTCAGAAGAATCTTCAACAACAGAAGCTAAAGTAACTGAAGAGATCTTTAGGTTAGCTCTGCTCTAGGCAATTCTAGAGAATTCTCCTGGAATGCATCAGGTGAATACTAGCTGTGGCTTCCAGCATCTGTGCAACAATTGCCAATGCTATAAACACAAGGATTTTCTCAGCACCAAACATGGCAATACAGAGAACCAGGCCATTACAAATCTCCTCATGCTATTTCAGCTGTTAAATCTCTTTCTGGTGAAAGAGCCAGGAGCTTTGAATTAGTTGATAACAATGATGCTGATACAGGGAACTATCAAGAGTCACCAGTACATCCCATCACAGGGAAATCTGCTAAGTAATACTGGAGGATAAAACACAACTCCACATCCAAGCTCTGGGAATAAGATAAAATCTTGTTGTAACTAGGCCTTGACTACCTTGTTTTTCCCCAGAACACATCATGAATGACTGGCAAGGAATGGGGGTTTATTTTTATTAAATGATTCTTAGACATGTAGGAGGGAGAAAACACATTTTAATGTATACTTTCCCTGTCCTCTTTTCCAAAGGTCTCAGGAGGAAAAAAAAAAAATCTTAAATGCATTTTAGCCTATGGTTCCTTGATTTCACTGCTAAAGCTCACTCTACTGATGTTAGAGCTTTATCATGCTTTTTTTTTCTCCAATCTAAGCACAGAGATTAAGTTCCATATAAGTCCCTCCTCGTCCTTTCAAAGCAAATCTATTTTTCTGTCTCCTTTTGCAGAGTACCAATATACATCATCTAGGTCCTCAAATCACAGCTTTGTACCACTGTGCTTTGATGTCTCAAAGAAGAGTGACTCCTCTACAGTTTATAGCTATCTCAATCTTTCTAGGCAAGTCTGCCTTGCAAGATTACTTACGAGCAAAGTGTGGTCAGTCCACAGGACAATTAAGTACACAAAACTTTCCCTTCCTCCTGCTTACAAGTTTGTTACTACTGTTCTGTGGCTTACATGCATTTTCAAAGCCTTACTCATTTATATTCTTGCGGGATAATTTGTAAAACATTACTACACAAAAAAATTCAAGTAAATGTAAAAAATAAGTTGGAGTTTACTTCCCCAAGCCTTTTTAAAAGGAAAAAACCTCAAATGTATCAAAAGAACTGATACTGAAGTGTATGTAGAAATTAATCTTTTTCATTTCTAACATGAAAACTCCTTTTTAAATAACTAAACCCACTACCTCTTTATTATAAAGTCGAGCATCTAACATCATTACACTTGGCTCCCACTCCCGTGGTTTGGAGAACACTTTAGGTATTGCAGAGCTGTGTGCGTTAATGGTGACGATGATGAGATTTCGCTACGTGCAAAAACCCCAAGTCTTGCTGACACTGCAGTTTTGTCTTAAAGTAAATGCCTTTGATTAACTTCATTTCCCCCCTTCAGCAGTGTTCTTTATTTCTCTATCTGCCAGTACTAGGGTAAGTACAATGAACTTCAGCACAGAGGCGGTATGCAGAGAAAAAAAAAAATATACAGTACAACCTGCTTATTATAAGCACTGTAAGGGAGCTGTCAGTGCTCTGCATGGTGCAAACAGCAGCCCTGTTACAATGAGGCATTGTATATAATAACTTCACAGAGAAAAGACACTTCAGTAGACAGTCTGCTGAATTGTGCAGATTTGTTGGCGATACCTTGGTAGTCACTGCTTTCTGCTGATAGTCACATGTGGCAATGCAGAGGCCCAACCTGACCAAGACGGATGACCATTAGCACAGGCTTTACAGTATAAAGATATGATTGAGTATTGTTTAGTGCAGCTCTCGTCCTTCTGGCTGCAGAGGGGCAGAAGAGGACAGCCAGTGTAGGATGCTGTGTGTATCCATCTGTATGTTTAATTTGGAGTTTAATAAAGCCCTTTCTGGTGGTTTCTTTCTCATTCTTTGGATCTTCCCTTGCAGTTCACAAGTAGAGGTCAATGAGCAGGCAGCAGGTGACTGCTGTCAGTCAGATTCTGACTTCTCATTAGATTTAGATAATCTACGCTTTCTCTTTTTCTTCTTCTTCTTTTCTTTTTTTTTCTTTTCCTTCTTTCTCTTCTTTTTCTTGTGTTTATCTCTACATTCTGAGGCAGTGGAGCTGCTGCTATCTTCATCATCCTCATCACTGCTATCATCATCTTCTGAGGTAGAGTCCTCTAGGAGCTGCTTCAGTTGCTGTATCCTGAGTTTAAAAAAATGTGAATGAGAATCCTTTCTAGTCCTCCTCTACCTGTAATAATTTATTCTAGCTTTCATCTGTATCCTTCCTAGCTTGAGAAATGGAAGCTGCATGCAAAAGGCAGGGGAACACTTCCTCTTTTGCTGCATTACATTCCCGTTACAGTTTTCACAGACTGATAAAGGCAACCTCTTTTGAGATGAGCAGATGGTCTGTTCTCAGGGACTTCCTATCCCACAGGATATCAAAGACAGACTAGCTTACTGGACAATATTTATGTGTGCAAAATAATGAGGCAACAGCTATCATCAGACCACTGTAAAAAGTTCTGTGCTTATCCATACACAGATGCATATTGGGATTACAATATTATGAAATTCATTGCCCTGCTGATACAGAATGATGTCAGTGAAGCTGATGGAGTAGACTCTACTTCGGATGCAGAGGTATTTTTGACAGGCGCTCTTCCTTTGAACTTTCATGGATTACTGGCAAATGGGGATGAACTATTTGCTTATTTGATTGTTGTCTTCAGCATCCTCTCCAATTAATTTGCTTTTTTCTTTTTTTTTTTTTTTAAAAACAAAAAAAGCAACACACCCGCAGCAGTACCACTCTATGGGCTACCCAGAATTGGTTCCATTGTCTCACTGATGCCATTCAAGAAAGCATTAAAGTCTGCTGCTTTGTATCTTAAACCATGACTTCACACGAGGAACAACATCAAGTGCCTAGAACTAGCTTTCTAAATACACCCTTTCGTGTCCACTGAAGGCACTTTGATATAAAAATTTTAGAAAACACTCAGTGAAAGAAAAAAAAAAACCCAACTGTTTTTTAGGCCTAACCCAAAACTTAACTCAAGTACCTGAATATTATGGCATAAGTGAATACGATTCCTCTTTAAACTTTGTTTTGGGAAAAAGTACAGAAGCTAATAAAATTAAAGAGGTAGGAAGTACTACTGAGTGATTACTGAGAAAGCAGAAATGCATTGGTGTCTGCCAACATAAAGAAACCGCCATTAAAAAAATGTTCTGGGTTGGTAAGGGTAGCTTATATCAAAATTTCACCTATGTGTTAGTACCACGTTATCAAAATGAAAACCAAACTGAAAATGCAGTTTACTACAGAAACACACTTACCTCATTTCTTTTTCATGACGTTTATTTTCCCTTATTAAATCGTACATTGGATCTTCATGTGCCTTTAAAGTAGAAAACAGAAAATCCAGTGTTGGTAAAGAAAAGTATTAATCACTGACTGTTGTATTCCTTAAAAAGAATACACCAAAGCAACCCAATGCAAGAGGCTGTTATCGAAAGATGAAATACATTTAGCAAGCTCTTAATTCACAAGTATACTCTCAGACTTAACATCGTTAATCTGAACTTTTTTTTACCTTAGGGAAAGCTTATCTAGCTATGTTACCAATGACGGGGACTCTCCTTAGGTATACTACCTCTCTCCCTCTCCAATCACAGTTAACTAAGAGAACCCCATACATATACTACAGGAATAGCCAGACATAGAAGGAAAAGCTGAAATTCAAAATTCAGCTGTGCCCTTATAGCATATTTTAAAAGCTTGGATACAAACACACAGGAATACAGGAGAAAGGAAGGTAAGACAAATGGATAATGAAGTTGGAGTTGTCCTCACATGCTATGCGCTACCATTATTGGTTCTTAAATGAGTTTTTTTAAAATGAAAACAGGCATTGCAGCATAAGATTGTTGTGAAGGAGGATAGCAAATAAACTTTGCAGATACTTAAGGTGAGTTCATGCCATGAAAAGAATGCAGCAAAAAGATGGGGTGATCATTTCTGTTGGAAGATTCAGCAAACAAGTTCAACAGAGAGGAGATATTGGGTGCTGACCAGAGGTGGGAATTAAAATGTCAGTAGCAAATGGAAAGATGTTGGGAATGCACCGTGAAGGGCCTTGGACATAGAGCAAGTGTTCGATACAACAGAGAAGAAGCCTGAACAAAAATGAAGTACAGAGGCAATCTGGACATGGGAGTGAGCTAAAAATACTCCTTGCAGTGGCACTCTGATCGGATGGAGTAAGTCCAGATTGCATTTTTCAAGCATAAAAATGAGGACATCAGACACAAAGTGATGAGAGCTTGAAATACAGTTTAACAATGCAGAGCAACAGGAAAAGTTAGAGAGATCATGCAGAAAGAATCTGCAGACCTGAGATGTAGCCTCATGCAGCAAGAGATCAGACTTGTAGACAATGACTGGATTACAGACCTAGACAACAGGCTTCATGATGTGGTTGTTCACAGTGAGAGCGGAAGGCTTGAAGCAGCTGTAATGTGGGCAGCTCAAGCTCGACTAAACATTTTTTGTTACGTTGTCATTTTGATCACAAAAACTGAATATAATGGTTGAAACAGGTTCTTGAAGATTTCCAATTTAAATGTAAAAATTGCTAATTTTCCTCTTGAAGAGTAGATTTGCTGCAAAGTAGTCAAACATCCAACCACATCTGTAGCTTTTTCTTTATTAGGAGATTTTCGGCATCTATATTATACTAGAGACAGAGGAGAAGTCCTTAATAAAGCATCATCTAACAGGATTCTCTTCACTTGCAAGATTATGCATCATCAATATTAAAAAATACAAGCAATAATACTACAGTATTCGTACTCACTACTCTAAATTGTTCCAATTTCTGATTGCCTTTAATAAAGAATGGGCATTCTTTGTCTCCTGTTCTGTGTCCGTAACGTTTACACCTCCAACCTTTAAAAGAAGAAGCAGCAGTGAATTGCACCTCTGAGCCAGATCAGAAGAAGAAAAAGGGGAAAAAAAAAAAAAGTATATTTATGGAAAATATTTTTGATTTGTTGAAACAAATAAATAGATACAAGTATTACGTTGATAAATGCGACGTCCATAAAATGCATCTTATGCATTTTATTACAGCCTTCAAGATACCAGTTGCTTTTATATCAATATGACGCCAATCTACAAGGTGGACCTTGTCATCTGTCCACCAGACATTCTGCCCTCCCCCGGAGCAAACGGATGGCTATACAAAGGTCTAACGACACCTGGAACATTTTCAGCCTTACACTGCATAACTTTGACTTCTTTTCCCAAAGGCATCCACAGCCCTTTTGTAGGGGCATGTGCCAGGAATTCTCGTGCACTTTCATTGCCTGGTACATCAGGTATGCAGTCTTCTGGTTTTGTTTCATTCTCCTATGGAAAAAGATAAGGACAATAAAATCGTATTTTTTTTAACTTTGTAAAAATTAATACTCCAAGGCTTTCGTTTAATATGGAACCTCTTTTCCCTGTAGCATTTGTTTCTTCTTGTAAGACATGAAGGATCCAAAATACCTGATCCTTTTAACAGCATTAAGCCATCTTCTTATTCCCTCACCCTTGACTTTTCTACTCTGAACTTTATTGCCGTATTAATCCCATTCTTTCCCATTTGTTTTAGTAATTTATTTAAATAAAGATTAGAAATGAAAAATTAACGACAAGCAGAGACAACTTTTTCCTCTTCCTGGTAAGAAGACATAATAATTAAAGACAGCCTTTGCAACACACATCAGTATTTTTTAGGTTAAAAGCACTAGATTAGGGCTTAGGTATATAAAATTGGGAAAAGCAATAATCATTATGAAAGGAAAGTATTTTTACACAAATATTGGAGCATAAGCAATGGAGAAGAATCCTAAAAAGATGTCATTCAAACTGAAAATCTGCTTCACCATACATGACTCGCCTCTATCCGCACTATTTAATACTGCATTAAGTGTGTGTGCTAAGAGGTGATGAAAGAACGGGGATCATCCTATCTGACTGTGGGCTTTTTGACTCTGGATTCACCAAGTCAAAGCAGTTGGCTTGTAACTGAGGAGCTCTGAGCTTTCCCCTGGAAGTACCTGCTTCTCTCGGTAATTTATATATAGGTAATGTAGACACTTAAACAGCTAACTGGTTGAGTGAAAATCCCTCGTTGTGCTAAAAATTGACTGCAATATATTATTTACCAACCTTAATTAGCCCTGGGGGAGGTTTCTCATAGCTGAAAAGCAATAGAAATATTGTTACTCTGTAGCTTAGCACAGATAAATAAATTGCGAAAATACAATATTTCAATGGTATAGAGTTAAAACCTTCAACTCACATTTTCCCTTAAATTTTACTCAATCAATAGTCACTAAGAACTACAGCAGAACACGGCTACCTGGATGCAAGCAGATTGAGACACAGTTGTTTGTCGTCTCTTGCAAACATCCTTCAGATTTGTATTCTCAGGGGAGAACAACTACTTTCATCCCACTGATTTACAGGGATGTGGGGTACATCCAGTTCAGCTCCAGTTTCTGTAAATGCACAAGTCTCCCCTCTTTTTCTATAGCACCCCTCCCCAAGGTCTCACTGATCCAAATTCCTTTACTCCAGCACTGCTGAATCATAGATGCACTCCGCTGAGAATGTCAGACCATTCCTTACATCTAGCTTTGCCAGACAAACCTACTACATAATAATAATAATTCCATCTTCTTCTCTCTGTGTATTAAACCTGAAGACAGAACCTTGCTGACCAAAGCATCGTCTTTCCTGCAGCATTTCTCTGGAGTTAATAGCAGATATAAAATTTATTAAAATCCAAGTAGTGAGCAGGTGCCACATACAGCACAGCAACCGAGAAAGCGCACATGCTTAGCAGTTAAATGCCAAGACAATATGAAATGGTCTTTGTAACTTTATGAGTGGTTTAGTGCGCTTCATAACAAACAGATTTTTACTCTCACTCAGAAAGGAAAATTAACCACGTTCCTGTGAACCTTCTGATCTTTTTTATTCCATTAAACGCCTTTCAGTGAAACAGCATAAACCTTTTACAGCACTGTGGGCTACTGAAGGAGTCATTAGGCAGATCCCAAACCTTTTTATCTTAACTTGTTGGGTGTTTTTTTAATCCACTCTAGCGGGGACCGCCTGAACAACCTCTGCTTCAACGCTGCGATTCCCGGACTTCTAGGAACCTGGGAGAGACCCGTTTTTCCCCCGTCGTTCATAAAAATAATTTATAAATCGTTATAAAGTCACCGAGGAGTTTTGCAAGCGGGGAAG